ATCTTAATCAGAAAAACACTGAAACGTCCTCATCTTTAAGTCATTTTCTCTGTGTTTTCTCTGAGAGCAGACACCGCCGACTCCTCTTGAGACGTCCATTGTATTGCGACACACAGAGACTGTTGTCTGCTGCAGGACCAGAGGAATGAAGTCCCGACGACCTTTGACCTCTGAGATCATCGCCGCTGCGTTGAATGCCGAACTTTTCCCCACTTTGGCACTTCTTCAGACGCACAAACAGTCCTCAATAATACATGGCCTCACAACATAAGGCTGCTCTTTAAATCTGAGTGCTGTAACTCTTTCAGGCTGTAATGTGATGTTACAAACATCCCAGAGGTAATACAAGAGCATCTGTCAACATATCAGTTCTTTCTGACGAGGCCTACATCCTGGATGTATGCATTAACATGAGTATCTTCCTGCCAGCTAATGCCGAGGCGATGACACCATTAACAGACCTTTGGATAATGCATGCCATTATACTTCTTTAAACCATTCTCACAAAGAGCATCAATTACAGATGTATAGTAAAGGCTGTATCTTTAAGAGATGCAGGACAAATGAACAGAACTCAAATGATTGTGCTGCCGTAAGAAACCAGGTCTAAGCTATTTTGTATTACAAATGAATAGCGATAGCTAAAGCTCGAGTTTCTTCAGTAAGCAGCCTGGATTTACAGATGGCTTTCATTCTAGACTGAAATATCTCAACAACTACTGGATAAATAGTTATTTTATGGTATTCATGGTTCCCATAGGATGAATCCCACTGACTTTGTCGATCCCCTGACTTTTAGCGTCACCAGCACATCACAGAAAAATATTTAAAAACCTGGCTCTATGGAATATCCGCAGATGGTGAATCCTGGTGACATTGGTGATTCCCCGATTCTTCCTCACGTGCCACAATTAGCTTAAAGTGTGATTTTGAGAGGAATATCTCAACTACAATGGTAAGGATTACGATATTACGATATATATATTTACGACATTTATCAAAGACATGTATGCGCCCCTCAGGATAAATTCAAACCTGTTTATTGATCCCTTTATCAAGGACACATCTTAGTTTATACCTTTTTAGCCGTGCAAGCATCATGAGATGGGTTGCGAATGGTGGTCATTTCACTAATGTAGTCCAGACTGAAATCACAACAACTACTTCATTGATTGTCAATTGATTTTTTAGATACAATAACGGTTCCCAGAAGATGAATCCTTGTGATTTTGACATGAGTTTAACTTGTAGATTTGAGTGAAATGTCAGTACACTATCGATGTTTTTTGGTCAAATTGTGCACACTCATTCATGTCTCCCTCAGCATTGATTGTTTTCTCTTTTGAGATCCCCTGACTTTTTATTGAACGCCATCATGAGGCCGAGATTTACATTTCCTGAGTACTTTTTAAAGACAATACCTGACAAATAAATGGAGTTGCCTCGTTAACTCATTACCCTCAGCCTTACTGTCAGCCCAGATGTACTTTTAGTGCTAATTTTCAAAGGCACGCAAAACATCAGCATGTTGGCATTGCAATTATAAGTTAAGCATGCTAATGAAATCATTTAGTATAAAAGGATGGCAGGAGAAAATAAAGTCAAACTTATACAAAAAGTATTAAACCTGCCTGTTTTACACCCTGATCCCATGTATTTGTATGTTAAGTATGTATAGTTGACATGATCTCATCTCCAACAATACTGAACAGGAGGTTTAATCACATTTCTTCTAAATTGAAATCTGGGAGTTTCCATTCAGAGATATACACTAAATGTCTGTCTAAATTCCAGAAGAGACGATCTGCAGCCGCAGCTACCACAGAGGACACTAAAAAGCCCACTTAAAGCAGAGGCACCTTTAGAGTGCATGGAAAGTGCATCCATGTAAATATTGAACAAACGCACAGTGTGGATTTCACTCACGGATCAATATTGAAGCAATCTGCACGATAATCTCATTTGCACTTCTGTTTTCTTCTTGGCAGAAGCTGCTGCAGACTGGCAGTGTGGGATCTCCAGTGAATTTACTATAAACTCAGCGTTTAGAAAGATTTTCACAAAAGTAATGAATATTTTATGTTGGCAGGGTTTCTGTGATAGACAGAAAGGATCTCAATCTGCTGCTGAGGATTGTGTGATGTTGTGAATACATAGACTGACTTTTGAGATGCTTTGTTAACTGTTTCCTTAAATCTAAAAGATTATTCCTTGCAATATTTAAGCAAATAATGACTCTAATTTCATGAAGCATACATAATTTCTGCTGTAAATATTACCCAAGGATGCACACTATAGTCAAAAGTATAAAGACATCTATAAATGAAACCCTTGTGACTGTGAACATCACATTGAGCACATTTTTCTCTGTGAGACTCTGACTGAGATTAAGAATCTCTTTTCCAAGGGACACCTGGCCAAGAAAGGCAGCATCACAAAGAAATATACACAAAAGGAGACAAATCTCAAAAGGAAGCAAAATTAATTTTACACTCAAAATGGTACGTTCCATAACCAGGTAAATACATTTAAAAAGCAAATGCGAGGCAAGTGAACTTTTACCAAAATACATTTGGAAAACCATTTATTTAAAGATTTATGCACCGGGGATTGTAATGTTGAACCTTTAACTACAATAACTACAAAGTAGGCAATACTTTAAGGTACGTTATGTTAAGATAAGATAAGATAACGGCATCTATTGCACGTCTGTCCGTCCTGGGAGAGGGATCCCTCCTCTGTTGCTCTCCCTGAGGTTTCTCCCATTTTTCCTTTTAAACTGTGGGTTTTCTTCGGAAGTTTTTCCTTGTACGATGTGAGGGTCTAAGGACAGAGGGTGTCGTATTGTCATACTGATATTCTGTACAAACTGTGAAGACCACTGAGACAAATGTAACATTTGTGATATTGGGCTATATAAATAAACATTGATTGATTGATTGATATATTATTGATAAGATTTACCTCTATTATTCCCTATGAGATATTGAGGTGTTGAGCAGCAACAGAATAATTAAGACCAAAGGTACACAAAACGACATGCAGTAAAGAACAGGGGTCTGTTACTGCTGTACAACACAAATCATTCCTGTTGCTGATACAGTGTGAGGCAGGTTAGTCGGGAACATCTGACCTGAACCTTCCCTGTGTTCTCTGTGAAACTGGTTTGTACATTTTGCCGATTTGTCAATGACGACCTCTCAAGAATTGGATGAATAATGGATCAAAGGCAAATACTACTTAAGATTCCCATCCATCTGAGGGATTAGATCAGCAGGGCCCGACTTCAAACAGCAGAAACAAATCAAGCGCTGCCATGTTTTGAGGTTGGCTATTGATCATGGCTGGCTGCAGTTCAGGGCCTCGTGGACGGCTGCAGCAGAGCCTCTGTATTTCCAGGGGAAAGTGAGGCTGCAGGGCAGAAAGCGAGCATGTTGATGATCTCTTAAAGTCAGCTTTTCCCTCAGAAGAATTCAGCTGTTTATTTAATTTTTTTAATAAACTAAATCCATTTTGGTGACCACGCCAAACGGTGATTCATCTCAACCCAAAGCAGGACCTCTGCAGCTTTAAGTGTTTTCCACACAGAGGGTCGTTTGGCTCAGTCCTGACGTCTCCTATCATATACATTGTTTTCCTCCTGCCTAATGCACTCCAGAAGACACAGAGGAAACAGCATGAATAATTTCCTTGTCAATAAAGTCATTAAACATACGCATACACGATCGATTTGTTTTTATCATATGTAGTAAATACTTTAAACTTGGCTCCTCCTCTATAGTAAAGAAGGAGTTACACAAGGTCAGCTCCTTGGTTTGTGCTTGAATGTAAACAGCTGTGATAAATAAACATTAGTTACGTGATTTGATATCTGGAAAATAATGCAAAAACTAGTTACAGTCATTTAACTATATATATATATATATATATATGTTCCCTTGTTACAGTATTTTGTGTTCAATGCTCATTTTTTATTATTTTGTTTGTACATTTTAATTGTAATTTATGTTCCAAAGAAAGCAGTAAAACATTGTCATCAAACATCAAAACTGTTATGTAGTAACTACAAACATCTGTAATGTTATTCTAATGAAGAGATTCATAGAAATGTACTTCATGACAACATTTTTTCATAATTTTCTCACTAAATATGTGCATTTTTGCATATAATTCTCTTTATTTTCTTTAAATTACCTGAAAAACCAAATAAAAAAAGAATTAAAACAATGTAAATAAAAACATTGGGTTGCTTTTTACAAAGAGAAAGGTTATTGCTCAAGGAAACTTCAGCAGCGGTCAGAGGGATTAAACTTGTGCACGTTATCCAAAAAACAACGACCACAATGATGCAAATCTCCTTAAATGTCCCCAACATTTTGGACATTGTGGAAATATATCCGAGTGTTCTGGAGTTGAAGTTTGAGTCACAATAGATGTCTGTTTACTCAGCATATTGTTAGATTAGAAATCAGAGAAGATGTTTTTGCTACAATGCTCTGAACTGAAAACGTCTTTGTTAAAACTATTTTATTTTCCTTCCTTCAAGGAGAAATCTGACAGGCCGTGTGTTGTGGTAACAAGGATTACATTGAAGTGGATGTGCTGCTTTGTGCAGATCCAGTAGGTGTCGTTGTTTCTTATGAATGAACAGCTGGACAGACCTGAGGGGATAATCACTTATAAGGCTAGTAACATTTATAAAACCTTCTTGGAGGTTATCGTGGTTGTACAATGTGTATACACCTAAGTATGCAGATTAAATAATGAACTATAGGGAAATAGTTTTGTGAAATAAAAGAAGCTGTGGATTTTGGACACGTTATCTTTTAATACTTGTGGTATTTCTATCCATCTCCCCGTCCCACCTCTTGCTTCCAATTATCCTAGTGGGCTGGACCGGTTCCTAGAAGCAGCCTTCTGATTGGCTGAAGCAGCTGCCAATCACAAACTCGTCCTGTAGCCTCCTGTTGGTGAACACAATCCACACCAGAAGTCAGAAAGTCAAATTTCACCAAGGGGGCAGAAAAGGGAAGGGTGCATTATCCGGTTATATTTCGTGTTTCTGTCACGCTTCACTGACGAAGAGTTACCAGACTTTTTAATATATTGTTAACTTTCTCTTTAATGTGGTTTTAAGGTATACAAAAATCCGGTTAATTGGATTTCAGGACTTCTTGGTTCCTTTTCTCCGGTATTTCTCTGTTTGCGCACCTGAGCCCGCTGCTCAGTTTTGTGCAACATGACTTTGCAACGCGTCTGATAAACTAAAAACTATATCATGGTGACATTACCTATCAGTGACATGCCTGCTGTGGGGAACCTCTGTAAATGTGCAATCTCTCACTGTGGAATAACCAGCGGAGTCCAGGTGTCACCGGGGGAAAGTGATGTGTGCAGGAGTGCCAGTTTGATGTCAGCTGGGGTTTGACAGAGTGCAGGAGTTTGGGATGAAAGAGAAACCTTAAAAAAAGAGACATTTCCCGGCTACTTTTACCTGGATTCAACACCGAACCATGGCTTCTGAGATGGTGTGCGGGCTGGTCTTCAGGCTGCTGCTGCCTCTGTGTCTTGTTGCTGGTGAGTGTTTTCCCCTTTATTCACACTTTTTACGCATCCTAAATTGGCCAATAATGCTCTTAATGTGCCAGGTTAATGAATACCTCTTATACTTTATCGGATCTTATCCTTTTAGAGTAATTAATTAACATTGAAGGAAGGATGTAGCTTATTTTTTAACCTTATGACTGTTTTTTGTGGCAAATTCTCTACTTTTTGGCACTTTTTGAAATAATCTGTCACATTAATTCTAATTCTGAGCTACAATGGTACACACCTGAAGTATATGAGCATGTAAAAACTGAAGAGCAGAAATCAAATGAATGATTGTGTGAACATTGAATAGGCTTTTATAATGATGTGTGATTGACCTCATGATGCTGGAGGTCACAGTTAATATCGTCACTGCTGTGTGCTTTAAAACTGTGACAAAACAAAAGCAATAGATATCACACATTATCTTACAATTAAGAACATTAAAAGAGAGGTGTACCAGCAACACTCTCTACCTGGCTGTCACATTTGATTGGATTTGGTAAAGGAAACACAGCCGACAACACAGTGTCCAGTCACTGCAGAAACAACCTCCATGCTCTCTGCACAGCGTCCATGTCTCAGTTTGTGTGTTCTAGAAATGTAGGATATTAAAATACAGACATATTAAGTGCATCTTTTTTCTCTAACCAAAGTTTGAAATGCAGAAATAATCAAATCACAAACCACTTTGCTATAATAAGAATAAGAACAGAAACTATTCCTCACTATCAGGTTTCCATGTGGGTCAAACAAGGCATCAACTTGCCGTTAGACTGTGTTATTTATATCTAAATAACATTAGATATTAATTTCTGCAGTTTTTTTGTGTGGTTTCTGAGTTTGAATAACCTCCCTAATAACGAATCAATTGTCTTTGAATCGATTGTTTAGCTGCTGACAGTATATCCAGTAAATGAATGTACTGTTTATTCACTTTAAACTTGCCTTGACAGTGTTAGAGCTATGTCATGTTTCCACATTTTGAGATTCAATCAGTGAGTTCTTGGTTTGTTTACTAAGCACTCTACACAGATGAAGTTATTGTTGCTTTGTTAGTCAAAGTTTTGTTTGATTCACTGCAGATTTTGAAGATGACTCACTTGGCAGCTTATTTGGATTTAGAAGTGACTTTTAGCAGCTTTAAACAGAGGGTAGAAGTCTGAGATATTCCTAATTTCACTGATTTAGAGACACACAATCAAAACACTGATTTAGAATGTGTGGCTGGAGGCATGATGGCACCTTGCAGACTCTATTAAATGCAGTTTACTTTGTGTTTTAAGCTGTGATTCTGTGGTAGGCCACAAGTGAAACATGATTAGCGTCTAACTGCCACTGAGGTCCCACTGTGGTGTCTGTGTAAGACTTATGGAGCTGAGGTACTTTTAAAGCTAACAGCATGCTTTCTATAGATAAGACCCACTCAGAGCCGCCATAATGCATCACTTGACAGCCCGACGGCCCCTTTTATTTCCAAAAGCAATCGTGAGGCCATGCATTGTCTCCATTAATTCGTGGAAAGTCGTTTTAACAGTATGAATTAATAATGTGGTTGTGAGGGAGGAAAGAATTGCCTTTCCCTTTTATCGTAAACATACCTTTTAATATTTGATGTTTTTTCAAAGTGCAAATGAGAGCTTGTCATTCACTGCAGCTGTGCACAGAAGAACTGACAGGATGAAGGAAATGTAAAGTGGAAAAAATGGAAAGTATTCAGGAACAGGTTAGGAGATAAAAGCAGCTTACTTCTCTTTCTTGTTTCTGCTTGACAATCAAAAATCTCATCTTATTTAAAAAGGAATTGTTTAGATTTCCATCAATAATCAATAACCATCAACCTGTCAGCTATTCCTTGTTCCATTCTTATTTGTAACACTTGTGGCTGAGATAAATGTTAAGTCTCATTTTTCCGGGTGTAATGTCATGCATTAGACTAGAGGGACAAAACTGAATTTAAAAAAAAAGATTTTTTGGCTTCTCATTGCTGAATAAACAGAGAGGAAACACACTGCAGCACAGCAGATGTTATCCGACTCCAAACATCTCCCTTACTGTATATGTTCTGTAGTGCAATATATGCATGCACACACCCGCTCTTTTCTCATGTCCTATAGTGAAAGACTTGTCTGCTGACGTTACCTAGTCTGTTTCCCTGTTGGCCATCTGACAGCACCTCTTTTGAAAAGCACAGTACTGCTGGGCTGTATGTGTACACAGTCTCATTTACCACACACACACACACACACACACACACACACACACACACACACACACACACACACACACACACACACACACACACACACACACACACACACACACACACACACACACACACACACACACACACACACACACACACACACACACACACACACACACACACACACACACACACACACACACACACACAGCTACAGTTTAGCTGATCAAACAGGATGCTGTTTACGTGTTTACTGGAATAGTTTCGAAGGAGAACACGATTATGAGCATGCCATTTCCCAAATGTCTGATCTGAATTCAAACTCGTGGTGAGACTTTTACAGAGGGATGTGTTGAGTAGAGCTGGTTGAAGCAGATTAAAGCACTGGAGCAAACTGAGGTTGGAGGTGTTATGCAGATGATGGGAACACTACTGGAATCATGATGCTGTCGGTTTCAATTGGGACTTAAAAGACAAAATAGATATGAAAAAACATTTGGTCTTAATCATGCAGAAAGTGACACAAGAAAATGAATCCTCTTCTCTGTGTTCATATTTTTAATGTCACCAATATTTTCCATTTTATAAAAACGTGTTTTTTCCACAGATTGTTAAAAGTGTAATTTGAGAACCATAAGAAAACTCTTAAATATCATATAATCCATCATTTTGTTGGTCCATTGATTCCAATTAAGACTAAAACCATTTGGTGGAGATTAAGTGAGAACCGGTTGAGGTTTAGGTTCTTCATTTGTACGCATAGGAAGATTTGGTTTACAGTTAAAGACAAGGGATTTGTGATACACGTTTTAAAACAAGACAGACAACAAGCACATCTTTAAAAAGAATGACTGCTCTCTAATGTTCTTGTTACACACGTTGTGATGCTCTGGAAAAAATCACATGTATGCTTGAAATGTACTCAACAGTAAATAAAAGTTTACCTAATAATACATCAATTATACTGCTGACGCATATCTTGTTATTCACTTTGGCAGTTTTGGGGCATGTTTTGGAGAATTGGCAGCATTTGGCACCTTCATGATACTTTAGAGAAGAGGTTTTGGTCTTAAAATAATGCTTTAAATCCACCGAAAACCCCCGTCATTTGGTTCAGGTGTAGTTAATATAGTTAAAATATCATAATGTGTCAACAATAGCAACTTAGCTGTTATTGTGTTATTGTTTTACCAAAAAGCTGTGTTCTTTTAAAAGCAAAACAAGTCTGCTTAAAACAGGTACAAATAAGACATATTTTTAATGATAAAAACAGTGGATAATTTGTAGTGACCATGTTAGTTCATGATGAATTGGAAATGGGGGACCCTGATGTAAACAAGACGAAAGTCTTTCTCTGGTCTGCATCCCCTTAACAATTGTATGTTTTGAGCTGTACTGTACCCAATATACAAGCTGTTAATAAACTTTTCAATCAATCAATCAATCAATCAATCAATCAATCAATTAGTTCAGTCTGTTGACCAACATGGCAAACCAAGTTTCCAGAGGTAAACAAAAGGAAAGATAATTCATTAAAAATTCAGCCGTGTGAAACCAACATTCAGGATGAAGGACAAGAGATACACGAAGAAGAGTCACGGATGTAAGTAAATGTTTTCTAAAGGACTAATTGTTTCACATTTCAGTTATGCGTTAGTCGTCTGAAATATAAAAATGAACACCTAACTGTAGCCTAAATAAATATTAATGTGTCAAATGACAAGTTTAATCAAAAACATAATAATCGTCCTCTTGCTCAATTTAATACACTTATGTTGCTATGCTATACTTTATACTAAAATACTATACAATAAAACAGCCTCATGTAAACTATTTCTCTTATGACAACTAGCTTATGCTAGCTAATGTTAGCTTAGTTGACGTTAGCACATTTCAGTAGGCTTCTTTCCTACTTGTGCTTCTATTTTGAAATAATACTGTAGCTATAATATTTACCATTATACTGTAAGCTTAATGTTTGGTACTTCTTTATTTGTTAGTAACACCACATGGCTCTGATAAATGAGTTAGCACTAGCTTCTAGTGTCAGTTAGTTAGCTAGTATGGCTAGTGAGTATTTAGCTAATAAACAAACAAACGTCTTATCTTCGAATAGACTTAAATGGACTAAAAGCTGCCTCAGAAGTTATTGTCTTATTATTATTTACCTTTGTTTTTAAGGATCTATCAACTACTCATTTATACATTTCTGAAAGCTGTTAAACTCTGCACAGTGGTGGGTATACTTGGGTATACTTTATGTTCTTCAGTGCTGCTTAAATTCCTCTGTTATCACCCAGTGCTTTCTCTGGCCAGGCACCACATCTCCTTATCTTCTATCATTTATGTTTTCATGCTCAAACTTTGAAATCAATTGGCTTTAACTTCACATTTAAGACTGCCTTGCTCTCATGTGTTTAGGCTTTGTTTGGCTGTAATAACAGCTTTTGATGGGAGAGACAAAAGCCTGATTCAGACTAGATGTGGAGGTTTTCAGTAATCTGATGTCTGAAAACAACGGCAGTTTATTTTCATTCCTTGTGTAAAAATCCTCAGATGGTGAGTCATACAGCGAAGGCAAATGGTCAGGAAGACTGCGGTCAAGTATCTGCAGGGTAACAGTGGGAGCAGAGTCATGCAGATACGAATAGATTATCTGTAAAGATACACAAGGCCTTCTTTAGATTTGTAACTGAACAGATGAATAATGTTAGCAGCAGGCTCTGGGCTACCAACTTGGGCAGGTTTGGAGCTAATTTAATGCTAGATAAAATTAAGTGGGTGTGGAAAGAAATGTTGCAGTGAGTTTGTCCAAAAAGTAAAGATTATGATCATTCCCACTAGAAACTTAAGTTGTAAAAGTTCCCCATCTAATATGTTTGAAAAGAAAACAACTAAAGATAATGATAAAGTATGATGATAAAGTGTTTTATTATGGTGTTATATTGACGATTGGACCATCATGCATATCAAGCATTCGTGCATACTTGAAACCTAATCACATCATATGTAAGTGTTTTTTTCTCAAAGATGATAGCCCTCCATAACATTTATTGACTTTTGTTAGTTTTCATTGGTCCGTATCAGAGCACAGAGAAAACCTGAAGGTTCACTTACCGTAGAGCTCCAGCTAGGGAGAAGTCGGAGCCAAGTCAAATGTCAATGAATAGCTCCATTGAGTGTGCAAAGATAAATAAAAGCTCAATTTTCAGCAGTTAAGTGTACATTTTCAGTAGATCAAGACAAGTAGCAGCCCAGACGGGCCGATCTCTGCGACTGTGACGGTAACTCACGCAGCCGACCTGGTTGTAAACTTTGTGCTTGTTGATTTAACCGCTTAGAGAAATTTGTGAGGTCAGAATGTGTGCCCGCATTTTCTACAAGGTTACTGTGTGCTTCCCTCCATTCCCTGGATACCTCCTGATCTAAAAATGTTCAAAGAAATGTCAGACAGGAAGGGACTTATCACATTTTTGCTGTAGGATTCTGAAAACCTAAAATACTCTAGGTTGTAAATGTGAAATATTAAATGATTTTACATCTCCGGTTGTTAAAAAAAAAAAAACTCAGGTTGTGCTTTCTGCATAGGCTTCAGCGGGGAAATGGGGTAAGTGTTTAGTACAATGTGGTTCATTTTAGACGCGTTAATTGATGTTCAGTCACCGGGTTATGTAAGCCGTTTAACTGGTAAAAGAGCAGATGGTCACTCTCTGGGAAATGAGGTGTGTTAAGGATCAATACGTCAATTAATGGTTTTTTTAAGTCATGTTTGCACTTATGTGTTTAAACTTTCATCATGTGCTTAAAATACTTCCTACATGTGTCTCAATTTTGTGTGTGTGGTCTAGCATTACTATACTTGTGGGGACCTAAATCTGTTTACACAGTTACGTGTGGGGACACGCCTCCCTTATGGGGACAAATTGGAGGTCCCCATGAGGGGAATCATTCATTTTAGGGTGAAGACTTGGTTAGGGTAAGGTTAAGGGTTAGGGTTAGGCATGTGTTGGTTATGGTTAAGGTTAGGATAAGTCTCCAGGAAATGCATGCAAGTCAATGTAATGTCCCCTGAAGTGATGTACTGTGTGTGTGTGTGTGTGTGTGTGTGTGTGTGTGTGTGTGTGTGTGTGTGTGTGGTGTGTGTGTGTGTGTGTGTGTGTGTGTGTGTGTGTGTGTGTGTGTGTGTGTGTGTGTGTGTGTGTGTGTGTGTGTGTGTGTGTGTGTGTGTGTGTGTGTGTGTGTGTGTGTGTGTGTGTGTGTGTGTGTGTGTGTGTGTGTGTGTGTGTGGTTTTTGGGAAAGGGTGAGTGTGTGGAGTTGCATAATAAAATGTCAAGTGGAGGGACATAATCCTAAATACTGAAACAATGCATTAAATCAACAAGCTTTGTTCATTATAGATTAGATCAACCCAAAGATATGCAATTTACAATGAAATAAAGCTGAGAACAATTGGCAAATCCTTCCATTTGAGAAGCGCAACATGTTTTGCAACAAATATCCAAACAGTTTCTTAAATAATTATTTGATTGATTTTCTAATTGTTTCAGTTTTTAAGGAAACAATAATGCTATGTTGTCATTTGAAACAAGTAGTGACTTAAGCACTGAGGTAACTGTTTATTTGAGTGTCTTTATTAAATCAACAATCATCGATGACATAAATTAAAGTGAACAAAAGTTCCAGGGAAAAATAAGTAAAAGTTTAAATGAATCAACATCAAATCTCTATGTAGGTCTTGATCTAAAATACTTATACCAAGTACATAATTATTTTCAGACACTGGTCGTCACATTTCAAACTCTTCACGCTGCATGTGGATGAGTTTCCTTTTTATACCTGTTTTCCAAACTCAGAGGTCCAACATGTGTATTAAACATCTGGTGCCTGAAGCCACTCTGTTACAACACTTTTAGACATCTTGTTCTTGCTGATTTGTCGATTTGGTAATAATGCTCACAGTCCATTAGGTACCATGAGATTCTTGCTAAATGAATTCTTCCCGTATGATATATAAAGCTGCAGCACTAAAGAGCAGAGAGAGGCTCATTTAGTTAATTGTCCATCGTAACACCCAATGGTGATTATTGATCCTCATTTTGTGATGCAGACCAGATGAACAGATTCGGAGGCTGGTGAGAAAGTGTTAAAGGAACGATCTGGCTTTAATGACCGCAAGCAGCTTTTCTACACCAGGAACATTTTAATACGCTTCACCACATGTTTCTCTTAAATCTGTTGATTTCAATGACGACTCCTGATCAGGCAGCTTGTTACACCTCTGCCAGCTTCTGGAGTTTATTTACTGTTAAACGTTACGGGATGCACGCAAAGCATTCATGACACGGTAGAGTTTGTGGATGTTAAATGGATTGATTTGGGGTTTAATCTGTATCTTTGTGTCCTTTTTGTTCCTGCAGCTTGCCTGTTCAGGTACAATGGCCTGTCCTTCGTCTACCTCATCTATCTCCTTCTTATCCCACTCTTCGCGGAGCCCACAAGCACAACAATGCAAGGTGAGCTCTTCAGTTCAACTCTCTTTGATACTTTGACACATCGATGGCGGCTTGGGCTTCGTCCATCGCCTGGAGACGCTTGTCTGTTTCCCAAAAAGCCTCCAGTTTGACTTGCGTTTTTGTTCTCTGTAATGTAAACCAGCCCTTCTCGAGGGGACTTGAATTTCCTTGAGATGAGGATAGATTTGGCACATAGTTCAGCCCATGAAAGGTAATATCGGTTAGTGCGGGTAGGAGTCCATCTGTGAAAATATAAAATGATCCACAAGCCAACAAGATCTGAGATAGGAAGACGTGATCCATCAGGGTCAGATCTAACGTCCACTAAATGATAATTAACATTTTAGGCTTTGAGTTGGTTTATTTTGACAGATAATGTCCATCAAAATGATAACATACTAAACAAACAAGCTATGCTGTTGGAGAAAAAGTTGAGATGAAGTCTGTTTTTGATAATGGCTGACCACTTTTATTATTACACAGGGATATAAAAGTTGCTCCTAAGGCTTCACTGATTCCTTAGATGGGTTTATTTCACAACAGCATGATCTGCCTGCTTTTGACAAGTGGTATTAGTTAATTCAGACAATGATATTTGGTAGTTTGGTTTAGATCAGTAAAAATGGAAACCATCTTTAAAGCGGGCGAACGATCTTCCACGACTCTTCAGCGGCGCCTTGTCCTCTAAAGAAATATACTGTAAATCACAGGCTGAGGTTTATGAGAGCGAGGTGACTGCTCTCCTTACGGGTGATGGATGTGGGATTGCGGTCGCCTTTATTCATTCCACTCACATAATGTGGGTTTCTGTAGGAGACCACATGCAGTGTTTAATTATACATAAACCTATATTGGCGGCGGGAACAACATCGAGTCCGAAGAGCCGTCTGTGCTCGTCTCCAGCTGAAATAACAGTCAGGAAGAAGAGGAGAAAGTGGACCACTTACACTCTCATCAATAGTTAAAGAGAGAAGTCTTCGAGTAAAGCTCAAGCGTTCATGTGTGTCTGATAGCTGTTGACTTCAAACGTGGGTCAACCTTTAGTGGTTACTCATTAGTGTAAAACATGAAACCTAAGTGTCCGGTCTCTCCATTTAAGATAATGCAGTGTTGTGCTTTAAGATACTTCAACACCAACAACACTCTGACTGCAATGAACTAAGGCAGCTGGGTTGTAAGACTTAATATTTAAAGTTCATTTACTGACTATTTAGATTTAAGTAGTTGAAAGTATACAATTGCAACATGAGGTTTTGCTTCATGGGTAGATTTGACTAATCTATATTTATCTTTTATTTTTTACATCATGTTAAAATGGTTTGGTGTGCAAACAACATTTTCAATATGTTTAAATTAAAGGGCCCATGTCATGCTTTTCTGGTTATTACCCGTCCCCTTTTGTGTTATGAAGGTTTTTCTGCATGTGAACGTTCTGCAGAGTCAAAAACCCTCAAAGTACACCCTGTAGCGAGTAAAACTCTAACACAGAAAAGACCTGTCTATGCTGCCCCAGAACGCCTTGTTGGAGATGTCTCTTTTTCCATTTGTTTCTTCCGGGAACCACATGACGTCATGCGGTTCCCGGAACATAAATGGACCAATCCGCGGAGCTCCTCACACACCAGGACCTTTAGCATACATTTTCAACTAACAGGGAGTCCCATTGACTTGCATAGAGCTCCCTGGTTGGTAATAGACGAGTTGGGATGGCGGAGAAATGCTCTCCGCAGACCCATTCTCACAGCGTTATAAACCTTTTTCTTACTCAATATCAAGCCACACTTATTGTTTTTACTTCGGCTGTGAGTGTTTGTGTGTGCTCAGGATGAGTTTAGCTTGTTCTCGCTGTATCGCCGACCCGGAAACCACACCAGTAAGCCAGCTCACTGAGCGGCGAGCCTCGCAACGTCCCGACCAATCAGAGCACACTGGGCTCACTAGGAGCTCCAGCACGCCGTTTAGGACAGAGAGTGAATACCGGCGAATACACATACTATACAGAGATGCTGTGAGAAACCAATGTGAGTTTGGAAAATTGCACATTATAAATCTATTCTAGTAGACCTCAACAATGGAATTATGATCAGGAGAAATGGCCATGACATGGGACCTTTAAATTAATTGAATCTCCAAGAAGGCACCAGGTTCACACACCTTTTGATAAAACAGACTGCTTAACAATAAATCAAGTGTCCGTTAAAGTTAATATTATTATCAAAGATTCAGTATTTACAACTAAACAAAGTTACCCAAAGTTAAATTGATTATTTTAATAATGAAATAATAATAAGTATTGTAAAAGAACCAATAACATCTCATCAAAGCTGTTTTTGTGTGAGGACGTTTCAATGAGCAAGATCTTATTCACAGGATTACTTTTGACTGAATATGAAATGATTGGAAACTATAATTGTATTGGATACATATTTTTGCTATATTCTTGAATGAAAAAGGGATTTAATTTAGCTGCCACACCAGTTTATAGAATTAGAAGTACTGTAACAACTGGATGTGGTTGAGGATGATTGTCATTGCTTTGCCAACATTTATTCGTTCTGTTTCATTATCAACTGTCTGTTTAACGTCAGGACTGTATACATCTAGGTTTAAAGTAATTACTACACTGTGGTTTTAATTGGGCTATTTAATGGTCATAATCTTGAGTAGCTAATGAGAATTTGAGAGTTACTGTACAGTAATTGTTCACTTAATTAATGTACAGAAACCACCAACAATACACACTGACAATGAACTCACAAAAACACAGATTTGATCCAGATGTCATTGTGCCGAAAAGAGACACTTGAATAGTTTTAGAGAGAGATATGTTTGCTTTTTTCTTCATTTTGATGGTCTGTTTCATTTTGTCTGTTGTGATTGAAAATTAAGTTAAACCAAATGTATGACATGAATAATTCATTAGATGAATTTTGCTTTAAAAAGCCACAACAGTGCGCTGTGCCCAAGGATATGTCAGTAAACAAGACTCCAATCCTCACAAGACAGAAAGTCTCTTATGCCACTGGCTGCTGTTGTTTGGGATGTACTCTCTAATGTCATGAGTTTTTGGCTCCACAAGCCCTTGAAGGCATCCAACTCTCAGTGGAGGTGAACAAACGGCTGCTCTCATATGGGCAGCGGGCGTTTAAGAGCCTTTCCAGTACAGTAGGTGCTATATGCCTCGTTGAAAAGGCACCAAGATGACAATTTCCCTTTGGGGAGTCTTTTAGTCTTGTTGCATGAATTTATATAAATATTTGATGTTACGGATGATTGATCAGGTTTATGTTTAAGCTAGTAGACTTCTAACAGAGGGTGTCTGGATTAAACGCATCACTTAGTTTTGCTTTTCCTTAAATCTATTTTTATGACACCTTTTTTAAGACACAACTTTCTACCCTTTTTTGTCTGAATGACATCCGTGCCAAGCGTACTCAAGCAAGTAAAATGGGCAGTACCACAGTGTGGAAGTACTTGCATTAAAAATCTTTTTTAAATAAAAAGACATAAGTATTCTCATCAAAATGTAAGGGGGGCTGCCCGATAGCTCAGTTTTTAGCATATGCAGTGTCCGACCTTTACCACTGTTTCTCTCAATAAAGAAACTTAAAAAAACATACCTAAAGGTAACCAAGAGTAAAATAAGTAATTATGGCAAAATGCCCTATTACAGAAAACACACACCCGGGGGGGGGGGGGGGGGGGGGGGGTCGCAACAGCGGTAATTAAAGTTTAAAAGGTCTCAAAAATGCTACAACTACTGTCACAAACTGGATGAATGTGAAGTATTTTGTTAAAGGAGGATGAAAGTGTAATTTAAGGAGCACTATTGGAGTGACTTTGATGGTTATTGGACTCAGGATTAATTCATTTGGATTCCCGCTGTATGAAGAAATTAAAGGACGGCGCAAGTGGAAATAATTCACAAAGGGATTAAACTGTTAAAACACATGCTCAAAGTAAGCCGGATTTTGCCGATGTGTTTATGTGGATTCAAAAGTCGTAAATAATCTACAAAAGAAAACCAAGCTCCGAACCTGGGGGAATAGAGCCTTCTCCATCGCTGCCCCCACCCTCTGGAACTCCCTCCCACAACACATCAGAGACTGCACTGACCCCCCCACTTTCAAAACACTGACCAAAACACACCTCTTCAGACTGGCTTTTAATCTGTGAATTATGCTGTATTGCTGTTTTAATAACTTTTAAATTCTATTTTATCATGTTTTATCACCACTGTAAAGGGTCTTTGAGCACCTGGAAAAGCGCTTTGAAATGCAATGTATTATTATTATTAAAATGGAGGAGACCGATCTGATCGGAGCAACTGTGACAAATAATCCAACTGAAACCGGCATGGACAATGACTATGTTTTAAAAACTGCGCTTATCCAGACAAGCCTGGTTTGGACACTTTACGGGCAGAAGAAACATTTCTATTAAAGAAAGAATTATACATTTCTGTTTCATTTCTTTTTATGCCTTTAATACTAACTTGAATTTTTATTCAAATAAATAAATAAATAATTTTTTATATTTTATTGTAATGTAGAGACAAGGCTTTTAGTGACAATCATGTATTGCGTTACAATTATGTGCGCCCCCAGGTTGGGAACCACTGCTTTACACCATATAATGTAGTTATTCATAATGTGTTTGTGTTTTGTAATAATTTGTTATAATAACTTATCACTAAAGCTGGAGTAGCAGAAAAAGTACTTATTGTAGTGGAGTAGAAGATAAAGTAGCATAACAATGGTCCCTTATAGTTGTGTACAGTGTTTGAGTTTATTTAATTAGTTACACCCATCCCTGCTGGCAAAGTATTCTAAAAAAAACACATATGATCGCGTTGAGATTCAAAACATTTAATTGGCCCTCCCTGACGTATGATTTGGCAACAGCATGTGGTTAAATCAGGTCCAAATGTTGGTCCAAGCTGAACAATGCCCTCTGTTTTGGACGCCTGTAAAAAGGACTCATGAGACGGCGTTTTGAGACTGAATCATGAAGCTCGAGGACCGTTGGGCAAGTGGACGGTGGCTGTCACACAACAAAAATGCTGTTTTACAAATAGGAAAAACGGGAAGCGGAGCCAAAGCTTTTGTTTTGTCCAGAGACATCGGACCAATTTGGACGGAGAAGCTCGCTAAGTCCTCGTACCTCCGTATTTACAAGCCTTCCCTTCCCTCTTTGTGAAAGCCCAGGGAGTTAACAATGGGAAATTAGCACAAATTGTTTTCACTTCAACATTTAATTTGCCTGCAATGGTCTGTTGTTGCACACATTTGATAAGGTTAGCCCTCGATGGCTCAAGGCTAAGCAGAAGTGCTTCCCCTTAGCCAGGATATTGTGCAACACACTACAGTAAAACCGTGCTCCCCGCTAAGATGCAGTAAATGTAATGAGATGGAGATGTTGCCCTGGAGAAGGAATAGACCAAACTGTGCAGATATGCAGTACAATATATTCTTAAGGCTTATAAGGAACATCATTTCATTTCTTCATCAAAGTAGAGAAGTCCCATAAAGTTTGTTTCTACCCTGAGGATGAAAACGTATCTACCCAAACAACAGGGGGGGGTCTGATGAATCCTACAGTAGAGAATTATCACCATAACAACTACCGAGATTATCCCAAATACCTGTAGGTGCACTATAAAATAAGCATCTGTTGCACATGTGTGGCAGCTCCTCACCCTGCGTACCCTCGCTCCCAGGATCCTGATGTCCTCTGACAGCTGTATTCTTTACCTACATTAAACACAGACCCAGGGTCAGTTACTCCGTCGTACAGTGTCTGTCGCTCTTCTGGTCATTTCCCGCGAACACAAAACCCCACCATAAAGAATAAAATGTGCGAATACTCCTATGATGAATAAGAGAGATTAAGAGGTGTTGTCATCCTCAAGGAGGTTTATTTGAAATAACCTTTGCTTTATAGTCATTTTCACAGCTTTTAACCAGGAACATTTAATTAAAAAGTGAACTTAGGCCATGAAACTGATTCACCAGCACTTACAACGGTATGACTTGCTTGAAGCGAATATATCTGCACTTTCTTTGTTGTGCGAAGTTTGAATCTTTATGGTTTTTGCACTTATTGTAAGTCGCCTTGGATAATATGTCAGCCAACTGAAAATCCTCTCCCAGTCACCTCCACCTTCAAATCAACTCCAGGCTTCATCACTCTACAATATATAAAAAAGGCGCTTCTTAAAGGTGGGGTAGGTCATTTAGGAGAAACCAGCTCGAGTGCGCTAGAATTTGAAAATACACAGCCGGAAGAAATCTGCCACTTCCTTACAGAGCCCCTCCTCCAACACACACGAACGCACACATGACCAATGAGGGCACGAGATAAGTTTGTGCACAGATGGAAGGCTGACAGGCAGGTAGGCCGTCCAGTTACTTTAGCCGGGCCGGCTCAGATGATTGGTCGTGCTTTTTACAGAGCCACGGCTTCCAGAGATGACATTTTTGATAGATGATATTCATTGCTATCGGGATGTTAAGAGCATTCCATGGAATATAACAAAAAGTGTATCTCGAGCCGGTTTCTCAAACGTACCTACCCCACCTTTAATGTTGCACAACTCCAAAAATATTAAATCTGCAGTCCTCTCTCTGTGTCTAGCGAAAAACAAATGCTCAGCAAAGAGAGGTTTTTCTGGGTTGCCGTGCATGAGCGGCAGAACTGACATGTGGAAATCCTTAAAGTGAGTGTTGTTGTTGGTGAACTCACTGTATCTCCTCTCCTCCTCTCCAGGCCACACAGGGCGTCTGCTGCAGTCCCTCTGCTTCACCAGCATGTCTTTCGTGCTGCTCCACATCATCTATCAGATTACCGTCAACAGCCTCCTGGCCGGGAAGTCCATCAGCCCCAACTTCAACTGTGAGTAGAGCACACTGCAGCCTCTATGTGCGCGGCTCTGAAGGTGCTGTGAATGCTGAAAGTCAAACACCTCACAGCAGGTCAATACGGATAAAGGTGCAGAATGGATTTGACTTATTTCTGTTTGCAGACCTTTTGAAAGACATACAAAAAGACACTTGTATGTTTTAGAAAAGTCAATAGACAACATCAACATCCAGACTCAACCCTTATATTACCTTACCTTATTATTATATAGAACAGAATGGTTTTAATAAATACATTTATATGTAGGATTTGACACCTACTGTCAGGTCTAGTAGTGTGACATGATGTAATAAGTGAAATAAAGATGGACACACTGAATGAGAGCAGTAGTCCGTTTCATGTAGATAATTAATTTGCATAGAGCAGAATATTACATGGTAATACACAATGATTAGGGGATTAATACTTATCTTAGTTTTATTTATTTTATTTTTAATTATTTATTTATTTCAATTTATTTTTTATTACATGTTTTAATGTTTTTTTAATATTTTTGTATTATATATATATAATTTCTATCTTTGAAATATTTAATTCTAAAATGGAGCAAGTGTTACAAAACCCTAATTTCCCCTGGGATAAATCTAGTATTTTAATTCTGAAATACTTGATACACGACAAAATATAAACCAGATCCTCTAACCCTCTTTCCCCGTGCAGTAGGAGCACCCGGTAGTACTGCAGCCATTAAAACCTGTGGGTGGCATTTTACAAGGTGTGTGTGTGTGTGTGGGTGTGATAAAAAAAAATTGCATTGCAACTTGATGGATGTTCAGCCCCTTCTAAAATTGGATTTATAACTGCGAAGGAATAGAGGAAGTTGCTTCCTAGATACAGTGTGTTTTTATTCAAATGAATGCATTTGACGTTAATTGGACCATATTGTCCTTTAATGGTATCTGTGTGGACCTTCTTGCAGTGATTAGGATGGTCTGCTGCGACTGCCTTATCAACATAGTTCCATTCACTGTAATAGAAAATGATAATTGCGGGGAGGTAAATGTTTTCCTTGGCAAAGGCTTTGCTAGATATTTATTACTGAAAAACAGAGAATAACTGACCTTTTTTTCAACTTCAGCTTCATTATTGCCGTCACTCTTAACGGCTTACTCTTATTGGAGAAAACAAAAGCAGCCCAAACTGACACAGAGGTACCATAGTCTCAGAGCGTGGGTACTCTTCTTAAAAGAACTGCTAATAAGCTGCAATGTAGCTCAGAATCAAGTTTCAGGGCTATAAGCTTTATATGAGATTTGTAACCTTAAAGTGGACCTATCATGCTATATTTGAAACATATATTGTAGGGCCATACCTATATAAAACATGTCTGTGAAGTGTTTTTTTCAAAATACCAAACAGATCATGCATTTTAGCCATGCCTCATTTCGCTCTATTTGCTCTATTCCAGCCCTGTCTTCACAAGGGCTGATTCTGTGGCAAATGAGCTGTAGCTGACCACGCCCCCCTGCAAAGGAGGGGCGCGAGGCACGAGCGTCATGTTACCATGCTGTTACCATGGTGTTACCATGCTGTTACCATGGTGTTACCATGCTGTTACCATGCCACGCAACCTCTCATTCCCCTGATAGGTGGAGAGTTGTCCATATAGGCGGAGCACCCCGTTTCTGACGTCAGAACAATTTCAAATCTGGATCAGTCTGTATCAGATCCGTTGCAGCCCCGTTTTTAGAGATTTGGGTATGGAGGAAAAGAGAGAGGGTTGTGTTTTCTGACACTTGGTGAGTTCCCTGACCGGGGACACATATTCATGTATAAAAGACATACAAAAGTGCATTTTGCATGATAGGTCCCCTTTTAATATAGCAGCAAACAACTACATGCTATGTAAAGATATCGTAGAGTATCGTCTCTTTCTGAGCAGTGAGTGTCGTCATTTGAGCTCCTCTGACCTCTTACACAGCATTTTAAAAGTAAGATAGCAGAGTGCGCTCCAAAGCATCAAACTTGAACAAAATTGTGTTTTTAAAAAAATGTTTTAGCTAGTGTTGGCAAGATAGCTAGCAAGCTAATCATTTGGATACATGGACTTGGGTCACTTGGCAAATCTTTTTTGCAGCTAACGACATAAATTAAAGACAAATATTTCCTTATTATGTCATGAAAAACTCTCCATTGTCAATGCAGCATTACATTTAATTTACATTTTCTAAATTTGTAGCAGACAGGGTTGGACAGTTGCCACAAAGTCCCATGAGTACAAACAGTTTGAGGCGGTCCAAACAAGAATCCCCTCCTCTATATACCTGACAAGTTGATCACTCCAGGAACTCATGTAAGATTAAAACAGTGAGATCTTTACTAATTTGGCCACATGTTCACGACTTGTATCTCGTCCCTCTCACAGGCTGCTTTTTAGCTTAAACTCTGACATGTGCTATCAATGCAGTCTCAATAGTCGGTAAATCACCAGAGGGTGTAGAAACTGAGTCAAGACATGCTCCATTTGCAGGAAAAGCTACATGTTGGTCTCTACTAACGCTTCACAATTTCTAGAAATATTCTCACCCTTATTGAATTTTGTCACACCGTAAAGATTTATGAATCCAACACATTCCTTTAAAGTAATTAGCTCCCTTGTGCCTTATGGCGACATAAAAAAGGCATTCTTTGGCCAGTAAAGAAAACAATGTAAGCGTCTGACGCAGCGTTGGAAGGTGTTAACAGTTGGCCGTGAGCTTCTCATGAAACTCTGTATCAAACTGTAAACATTTGAATGTGTCTAGACGGGACAAACCCTGACCGTGTTTTGTGATTACTTGTTTCTTTCTAATGGAGGTAGTTTTGCACCGTGGAAGTCCAGCCAGCTTTGCTCAGAAGGCAGAACGACTTTATCGCCTCAGGGAGAAACAAACAATCCATTAAGAGAGGGCAGACTAAATATTTACACCAGCAAATCTTTATTAGTGAAGTATTTATCCATCCATCCATCCATCATACATACATACATTGTGAAACATATTCATTAGGGGTGTAACGGTTCACAGAAGTCACGGTTCGGTTCGTACCTCGGTTTGGAGGTCACGGTTCGGTACAACAAGAAAAAGCAAAAAAAAAAGTCCCAAATGCATAATTCCAGGTTTGTTGTTATTTATGTTTGAACAGTAGTGCAAGTTTCAGTTTAAAAATAAAGAACTCTTTTTTGAATAATTAACTGTATTAAACAGTTAAAAACAAACCATACACAGTACACTCAGATGGCCATATTATCTATAATGGCTGATGTCAAACAAAAAGGTTTCATCTAGCTGTAAAGCTAAAAAGAATGTCTTGAAAATGTGACATCATAAATAATAAGAAAGTGTTTCAAGAGCGCAAAGTCGTTGAAAAACATATGCCAAAAGCTTTATTTTGGTCTCACGGCTTTCATGTCTATTGGTTTATAAAAACAGCGCGGATCAGCTGTTGAACTGCTGTTGTCTTTTGCATGTAAACGGTCTGCAAAGTCAAAACCCTCAAAGTACACCCTGTAGCGAGTAAAACTCTAACACAGTCTATGCTGCCCCAAAACACCTCGTTGGAGATTTCTCATTTTCCATTGTTTACTTCCTGGGTTCTGTGACGTGTGAACACCCAAATCAACAACACATGACCGGATTGGGCCAAATGGACCAATCCGCGGAGCACCTCACACACCAGGATCCCTTGGCTAACTAATCAGGGAGTCCCTGAACGCTGGTAATTCTCACAGCGTTATAAACCTTTTTCTTTCTCAATATCAAGCCACACTTATTGTTTTTACTTCGGCTGTGAGTGTTTGTGTGTGCTCAGGATGAGTTTTGCTTGTTCTCGCTGTATCGCCGACCTGGAAACCTGTCCGCTCCTCGCAGCAACGAGCCTCGCAACGTCCCGACCAATCAGAGCACACTGGGCTCACAGGGAGGGGGGGCAGGAGCTCCAACAAGCCGTTTAGGACAGAGAGTGAATACACATACTATACAGAGATGCTGTATGAGAAACCAATGTGACTTTGGAAAATTGCACAATTGAAATCTATTCTAGTAGACCTCAACAATGGAATTATGATCAGTAGAAATGGCCATGACGCACCTTTAATTGAAAAATCATGAAATGTCTGTTTTATGATTTAAACTAAGTAACAGCATGTGTAAGGCACTTTGCTGACTTCACCACTGTAATGGTTTGTATACATAGTGTTGGATTTTACTTCCTGAAGTTAATGTCATTCTATTTTTATTTTTGGAGGACAGGAATCATTAATCCTCGTCCCCTGGATCACCTTTATTCTGGGTAAATACCTTATCTCTGATTTCTATGTCTGGCATTTAGCGCCTCAACACCCTTTTCCTTCTGGCAGCCAAGTATAAACAAGGAGTCCTCGTTCTGCGCTGAGGCGGTTATCCTCCCTCCTGATAGCTTCATATAATTTCCTCTATTCTTCGCAGCCAAATACACCATTAGAGCAGTAAACTGAGTTGAGTATGAATGAGTAAACCTTTCCAACAAAGCTAACACCTCCAGCTGTTGGAGCGGGTCAGTGACCGGTCGCCAGATGAGTCAAAGCCGGCTTTCTTTGGAGTGATTCCTCTGTGCTGACTCGACATTAAGGGCATTGTTTTAACCGTCAAAGAGCGCCAGATACCAAAATCCTTCCTGTGATTGTCTTCTCTCTTTGCAGTCATTGTTCTCAGTGGCTACCCCCACCCATCTGCAGATAAAGAAGGTTGAAACAATCCAAAAAGACAGGATTTGAAAGCTTTATTTGGCTCTTATCTGCTTGCGATATATATTTCAGCAGCTCATAAAGAGTAACAGCCGGTGGAATTAGTGTTTTGTCACCAGTTTCTTGGGAATAGTCTTCGTTAAGTCCCTTTGTTGACCTTAACCGCCCGCCGTATCCACACATATCCTGCCCACCATTCCCCAAATGTGAGACATTTTCCAAATTCTCTAAGCATACCAATTGTGTGATTACAGTCATGACGTGCTGAAATGTCGGCGCAGCAAATCAGCAGTCTCTGTGGAAAAGGGCAACAACCGGTATTACGCTCCAGAGATGGAGGGGAGAGTGCGAAGCAGTGCCGTGTTGAGAGGTTAACGGCCCAGCAAGTACAAAGGCTGTTTTATGATGCTCACATAAAGTCGGAGGACAGGTATTTTTGGTGCTCAGCTGGGGTGGAAAGCGGCCTCGCCTCAATGCGCAGAAAGTCTCACACTCTTTTCCAGAAGTATCCACGCTGAGTCCAGGCTGTGTTATACAATATTCCTCCTCTATGGATCTGGCCTGGGTTAACCTCAGCGTTCCTCGTGTATGTTATCGGTTTCCTCTTTTTTCCTCAGTTTGGGCTGCGTGAAGTTAGGTGTTGCAGATGTTTGGACTTTCTGTATGAGAGTGTGTTTGGTCGCTAGCAGAAGAGTTTATATTTGAAGATGTTAATGAGGCATTAAGTCATCAATGACCTTTGTGGGTGTTTATTAGTTACAACAACATCAGTGGACCTTATCTGCTCCTGTAAAAGTATCTGGCACAACTCTAACCACTTCCTGTTAGGGTTATTTATAAATGACACAGTTAATAAATCCAGAGCCCCAAGATAAATATAAACCCAGCACAACTGTCCCTCATTTTCCAATTCTGGAGACTTTAGTTCCCATCTCTTAAATGCATCCTCGACGCCCCTACAACACTTCACCACTTATGCACTTAGAAGCTACTCTTTTGACATCTTTGCCTTTATTGGTTGCATGTTTTTATGCAGTGGGAGCTTCACAAACACTCTTGTTGTGGCTGAATGTAACTGTTTTATGTAGTTTTGATTAAACAGTGGTCATTCACATTTGAAAGGGTTCTTAAAGTAAATTGGAGCACACCAAAGTCCACTTTAATCAAATACAACGTCATTTTCCAAAAACAAAAGTGTGGTTAGTTCAAATGCTGAGTAAATAGTTACTTTAAAAAAACACTAGACAGTCTAGACCTGGTCTTAAAGGTGGGGTAGGTAAGTTTCAGAAACCGGCTCGAGATACACTTTTTGTTATATTCCATGGAATGCTCTTAACATCCCGATAGCAATGAATATCTGAAGTGCTTTGACAAAAAATCCAAGCTGTAATACTGTAAAAAGTACATCCAATCCGTTTAGCCGGCCCGGTACTTTCAAATGTTAGTGCACTCGAGCCGGTTTCTGAAACTTACCTACCCCACCTTTAACCACGAGGACTAAGTAAAAGCCAAAAAAAAGAGCATGCTTGTTTAACTTTATATTAAGGAAATTCATTTAGTTTCTATTAAATATTTCCCTAAATATGTTTTCATACATACAGTATACTGTATGTATGTATGTATGTATGTATGTATGTATGTATGTATGTATGTATGTATGTATGTATGTATGTATGTATGTATGTATGTATGTATGTATGTATGTATGTATGTATGTATGTATGTATGTATGTATGTATGTATGTATGTATGTATGTATGTATGTATGTATGTTTCTTCTCTTGGGAAAAAACACAAAAATTAAAATCAACTTAGAATTAGTTTTTAGCAAATAATGCAATACAATCTTTCTGTTATAAATATGCAAGAAAGGACTGTATTTAAAAAAAGAAAATGCCACCTAGGCTTGAAGAAATCATCCTGTTTTGATGTTTTATTTTCCCACTGTGTGTGTTGTTCAATTCAATTCAAAACCTTTATTTATCCAGGTAAAATCCCATTGAGATCAATGATCTCTTTTTCAAGGGAGACCTGCACAGTGTTGTGTTGCAGTCGGGTCACTCTGTCATCCATCAGTACGTTTAAACTGGGAGTAGTGGAGGTGGAGGACAGTTTCTCACAGTTGAGTAGGAGGACGTCTGCGGGGGAAGTGTTTGATGTCAGAGGTTATGTCAGGGGTTAGTCATGTGGGCTCCTCCCATCACAGATGTTTTCTTAATTTATTTTTTAGAAATATAGGTATCCTCCGCACTCTTTTCCTCTACTTCCAGCCCAACCACACAGCTCATAACATCTGTGATAGCGATGCTGTGATTTCCTGCAGCTATGTTATCCACTGATGAGTAATAAAGAAACACCGGGGTTTGCACTGACAGCCCATTACCGTTTATTCACCTTGAGTGGAATTCAGTTTCCTGGTCCTGACAACGTGCCTATGCTGTGACTCATTCCTTTACTGGATACTGTGGGTCATTTAGGAGGAAGACCTTTTTTCCCCTCTCTTTTCTCTCTGTGTATTTAAACATTTCATGCTGTTGTTACTCCAAAAAAAACCTCCTGAAAATGGTTTGCATACAGGTGACACGGCAGATGAAGTAGCATTTTTCCCGCGGTCTGTTTTGAGTTACTGACGTGTGTTGTAACGCCTTCACTGCGCTCCATAAACCAGAAACCTCAGCTCCTAATTAGCCTCCTAATACACCAACAAAACAGCCGGATACATCCAAATGTCATTGAGTTGAAATCCTCGAGTTTCAAACTGATGTTGTGTTTCCTCTGGCGGTACAACAAAGGCCAGTAAACCTTCGGCTGTTGTTCTCAGAGTGCCGGCTGAATACCTGGAAATCTCTCTCTGAGCGCTGAGTGACGTTCAGGAACACTTCAACCAGTCCCGTGGAAAAAAAACCCACATGAAATGTTTTTATTTCTCCTTCAGAACAGATGGATTATTAATCATTCTCCTGCAGATGAGTTATCAGCTGAAGCGAATGACATTTTCTGGCTGCTTTGAAGCAGATGTATTAATGGTTTGGTCAGAGGTTAATAAACGACTTTTACACACTAGATCCTGATACTTTATATTAAAACAAATGACCCAGTGTTATTTAAAGTGTTTTTTTATTTTTTTATTTACTGACTGACTTCATGTTTTGTCCAGGTTCCACGTGGGAGAAATCCATACGACAAATTGGCTTTGAAAGGTAAGAACATTATGAATGAAATGAACACTTTCACAACAATTGTATTCACTCAAATATCATGTACAGCTTAAAGAATTATTCTGTTTAACATTTTGTCAATATATTTATTTTATTTTATGATTCATATAGCAAGCTTGATGAGATACAGAAAATAAATCCCTTTTTAAATGATCTGTAAATCCCATTTCTCCTGACGAACATGATGACGAAGTTTGGATTTTTGTTGTGTTATGTACATTTTCCAAGTTGTGTGTTTGATGAAGTGGTAGGATTGTTTGATAGAGACAGAAGGGTCAGTAATAACAATCAATAACATGTATTTTTTCAGAATCAGCAAAGCCTTAGCCAAAATATTCATCCCACCTGTCAAAGATCCTGGTTCTCTTCCCCTGTAAGAGGTTGCATCATCTCTGCAAAGTGTCCTTATTATAGCAAACCCACAATAACATTAAACACCACTTTTAACATTTAGCCGCACTGGCCCGTCATCAAGGTTTCAAAACGCTCCTCACCTGTCCCTCTGTGGATTCCTGATGAATACTAAACCCAGTTACGTCGGACAATGAGTAGAGAGACCTATATTTCAAAGCTTTCGCCGCTGTCTCTGTCTCCTCAAACCCCCGTGATCGTGTTAGATGCGGTTTCCTAAGTACGGGAATGTCCAAACTCGGCCACATCCTCTTTCCAGTACTCAACGGCCCTCGGTGGATAGTATACTGTAAGTGGCGGAAGTAGAGTCGTAAACATTTTATCCCGGCTGCATCTACCTATTTTTGTTAGGGATCATATACAGTATATATTTACTGATGCATTGGCAGATGCTCTTTCCCTTTCACGTCCTGTATGGAGGAAAATGCAGAGTTGCTGAAGTCTAAAGTTTAACATTCGCAGCTGTTTGTGTGCTTTTCACCCAGACAGATCCTTCAGTTCCTCCAGCTTGACCTTTTCAAATCCTTTAGAAACACCAAATATTTATATCATTTCGGACATATTTCCTGATGTTAGGGTATTTGTAGTTTTTCGGCCAATCCCTGAAGAGTATATTTTCCCCTTGCAGCCTGAGGCAGTGCGGACAGGTCTTTGCTCTGCTAATGTTATTGTAATTTTCTCACAAACGGGGGAAAAGTCATTAAAGTTCCTGGCTCAACCTCGCGTGGCTCTGACGCTTTCCATCCCTTTCATCCAGTGAGGATGCACAAAGCTTTGTAACAGTAACGCGCATGGAAACAGACGTCCTTAATTAGATTGAACTCGCCAGCAGCAGCCAGTCCCAATTATTTATCCGAGTGTTTCCATTGCGTTGATTAGTTTTCAATTTGGTCACTTTTATAAGCTTTATATCCATTGAAGACCAGAAGGAGATTGTTTCTGTGTGAAATGACCAGTTGCTTAAAAGCTTTATCCAAACAGCTTTTCACTGCAGCGTGCACCACAGTGTTTTAAAAAAAAATCGAAAACACTTTAATTACACTTGGAGCTCAGCATGACATGTAAAGAAAACCCTTTGGTGGCCAAACACAGGAGATTGTTGTAAAACTGAAATAGAAGTCAGGACGATTAAAGTGAGTTTTTAAAGGTTTTGAAACCTGCTAGCCATTTCAAGGACATTTTTTATTTGCTTTAATTCTACATGCAATCATGACACCTCGTAAAACTTGTCCTGAGGCGGCAAAAAAACAAAACATCCCGCCTTCTGAGGCTGTCATGGCAACAGCTGGCTGCCACTGGTTAGCTTCCCGTTTGAATCACCGCTCTGGTATTTAGTTAGAGGTGAACAGACGTTTAACAAATGTTACAAAAGCTTTGTTTGCTCACAGCGATATCTCCACAGGAAATCAAACAATGTCACATTTTAGTCAAATAATGAAACACACACACACACTGTCTAGACCAGACCTGGGGTAAATATAATTTATTTATACATTTTTATTATCTGTACACAGTCCTTTTTATGTAAGAACAAGTCAATAGGTTCTGGCTTACTGTTAGAAACCCACAAAATCTGGTTTCGATTCATTTATGTGACGCAGTTTAATGGGGAAAATAGCTTATTGGTCATACCACCTTATTATGAACAAAGGGAGTAAACAAGTTTTCTCACGGTCTTTTTGTTTGAATGGAATTTCACAATAAGTTTAAAACAGGCAAGGCTTATTTCATTAAAGTGGGTGGTACTCCACATAAAAGCTGAAGTATTTAACACATGTTTAAATAACTGTCGATTAACGAAAGAAAACCCAGATTCCCAGGCACTCATGGGAACAGGTAGATTTTCCTGAAGGATAATTGCAGTAATAATATTTATTCTCATGAGTTTGAACGCAGTACAGTCTGTAGATGTAATGCTCAAGATATCTTCTCCAAGCTTGTTGAACTGCATTTTAAATAAACAACGTGACATGAAGATTTAGTAAAGACGAAGGGAGATGACATGAGACGATTATCCAAGATACAAACACACGACCGCACAAATATTTATGGTACTCATCCAAGTGAACTCAACAAGCAACCACACGTCTTAGGTTTTCCTACAAAAACTGTTTTACATTAAAAGTGATCGTCCATGGACAGTGAACTGTGTTGTACCCGGTCCCATTTTCTAGCGTTCGGTTGCCATCGTAGACTGCATGATTGCTCCAGATAACAACTTTTGGAAGATATTGGGTTTCAAATTTGACTTTGAGGACACAAGCTTTCTGTCAGTGTGATGCCTTCTGGTTTCTGTGTGTCCACAGTGTGATTGGTGCAGATGCGGGGAACGGTATCCGAGTGTTCATCCCCGACATCGGCATGTTTGTGGCCGGCCTGGTCATCTGGCTGCTGTGCCGCAGTCTGGTCCAGAAGAGACCGCCGGAGGACATGGCCCAGTACAACACTGACTTTGAAGCAGAAGAACAAGTGGGTCTCACACGGGGGGCCGGAGCTGCAGAATGGAAAAGTTGACAAGCTTATAGAGCAGTTTTCTTAACAGTTTTCAACCAGTACAATCTAATGATGGATTAATTGATAATAAAATCAATCAATGAAATGATATAGATTTATACATGTAAAAGTTTTCAGGAGACTGCATGGCGTCTTATTATTGGTGTCATTTGGCACAATGTATATAACAAAAACAAAAATACCTTTTGGGTTTCAAACTAGTCAAATTATGATAACTTGAAGCAAATTAAGTCACACATGTACAAGCAAGCTAACCACACCTCAGATGCTGCTCTCTCTTTTATATAATCGATGACCAAATCAGAACATAGCCTACTTTACAATACTAGTAATAAGAAAATACTGAGGAGACTTTTTTGGAATTTAGACTATTGAGAAGAAAAGAACGTACTGATTTGGATGAGGTAAATTGTGGTGATGTTTCTGTTCATCAACACAATCTATGGATGTGGATAATGACATTTTCCATAGTGTTGCAGATCCTTACTAAAGTGTGTGCGTGGCAGTGAAGTGATACATGTGGTGTCATGACAATATTTCTCCTAAATGTACAAATTTAATATCAAGGAATAACAAACAAGATATTGTAAATAACACAATGATCGTGTTGTACATAACTGATCAGAGTTGTTTACTTACTGAAGTGGCCAACTTACTCCTGCTTGATACGTAGCTTCCACGTTGAGCTTCTTAAACAGAACAGGAGTTTGAATAGCGAGTGTTGATGACTTGGAATAAAGCCCCCATCGCGTGGCAAGTCTTCCGTTCTCTTTATGACTCAGTGTTAATTAAATCCACATTCACCTTCTCTTCGTCTGAGCTGCTCACACTGACACAGATGGCCGCGCTCCCCATTACTGAGAAACACCAGGAATTCATCTCTAGCGCTTGCGTTGTGTTCGGGTTTTTAAATCTATCTGAGCTGAAGTTGTTGTTTGGCTTTGTACCACCCGCTACTTTCTTAGTGTGCGTCAGTCCTCTATGAAGCCCAATCAATGGCCCACTTGTTATTATGTCCCTTTTTTATTGAGACTTTAGGAAAAGAGCGACACATAGTTGGTTAGATAGAGTTGCCAAGGAAGAAGTGACTCAGTATCTCAAGCCCACAGAGGAAAACATCTGCTATGGGTCAATAAAGATGTCTCAAGCAGCCACATATGTATTTAAATAAGCTCAACTGGAGTATGCACTAGGGCTGTACCCGAATATTCGTTTGTTGGAGTACTATTTATTTTTTTTCAAATTGAATTTATTGAAATCTCCAATATCAACGTAAGAGCTTGTTCGGGGGGTGCTAACACTTAACTTTCTCCGTCTTTATATGTAGATATTACTTTTCTCCGTTAATCTCCGTCACGTTGTTTCCATAGCAACAACCCAATATTCGAATATTTGCTGCTGATTACTACCGAATATCCGGAGCCCGAAAAATGGTATTCGGGACAGCCCTAGTATGCACAGGGATTGTTCTAGAAGTGCTACCTGTAGGAAACAGTTTTCAGCACCATGGAGAGCTCTGACCTCCAGCAGCACCATCCATCACTCATATACTGAAATGTCACTTTATAATCCTATCCCCTAAAAGGAAGAAGAGGAGAAGCTGAGCCTGGACCACAACATCCTGCTGGAAGAAGACTACGAGGCGGGGTACGAGGCCGAGGAGGATGAAGAGGATGAGGATCTGGAGGAGGAGGAAGAGGAGGAAGAGGAGGAGGAAGCAAAGGAGAGCACCAAGAGGAAGATCCTGCGGCACGTAGCGGAGGTGGCGTCCAAAGTGAAGGATATTATCGGGAACCTGATCACGACTGCAGGGAAGGTGGTGGTCACCATCCTGCTGGGCATGACAGGTGAGCGGCTGTGGATGAGGAAGAGTGAATCTGTGTCTTTACTTTACAGCATTACAATTGGAATATTTAAGAAATGAAGATGACATTATCACATTCACAAAGTGTGCTTCCATTTTAGTTTGTGCAGGTTTGATTTGCAGACTGTAGTTAAGAATTACAAATGCTTATCCACAAGCTGTTGGCCCAGCTGTTTGCTCTCATCAGCAGGGGTGGTTCCCAAACGTGTGTCAAATAACCCAATGTGTGACCTTACACGTTCCATATGTCTATAATATGTCAACGTTGTTTTATTTAGAATAAGAAGAATGCTTTTTTGTTTAAATCATTTTAAGAGTTTTGAGGATAAAAAAAAAAAACAGGATTGAAGGAATTATAAAAAAATACAAATGCAATTTTGAGAAGAATACAGTATACAATATAAGTGCTGTACAGTCAATAAACAAAACATACACAAAGTTACACAGCTCAGCTCACACACCATAAAACAAGTACAAGTAAAAAGAATAGACAATTTAAAAGCAATATCAGCAACACTCTAAAATATGTTAATACGCTAAGGAGAAGAGGTGGGTTTTAAGAAGTGATTTAAAAGCAGGCAGTGTGGCGGCCTGTCTGATGTGCATGGGCAGATCGTTCCACAGTGCGGGAGCCGCTACAGAGAAGCAACGGCCCCCTCTGAGCTTTGACTTGGTTCTGGGCACATTCAGGAGCAGTTGATCCGCTGACCTGAGAGGGCGGGTGGGCTTGTAAGGGTGTAGCAGCTCAGAAAGTGGTCATGCCATTTAGGGATTTAAAAGCAAATAAAAGGATTTTGAAATGAATCCTAAAACGTATTGGCAGCCAGTGGAGCGAAGCCAAAATGGGGGAAATGTGGTCATATTTCCGTGTGCCAGTTAAAAGCCTTGCTGCGGCATTTTGCACCAGCTGCAGACGAGCGAGGGAGGACCCACTGACCCCCATGTAGAGAGAGTTACAGTAATCCAGCCGAGTGGTGACGAAGGCGTGGATTACCGTCTCAAACTGCTGTCTGGAGAGAAAAGGTTTTTTATTTTATTTCCAAGTCGAGAACCCCATCTTGTATTGGCTAGGTCAAACAGTATCTTCCCATTACATCGTTTAAACTGTCTTCTGAACTACATGTGAGGTGTAAGCGCTGTAGGGTCGAGGAAATGACGTCAACATTTAAGTCACAATCTTTCTAATCTTTTTTAATACTAGTTGAACATTACATTTTTATATTTGTATGTGTTTTTTTTTATATGTTTCTAGTTATTGTGCTTTTATTATGTTTTTAATTATTGTTTTATTATTGTACTCCCATTGTGTTCTTTAATATTGTAGTTATTGCCTGTACAGCACTTTGGTCAACTGAAAGTTGTTTTAAATGTGCTATATAAATAAATAAAAAGATTTCAAATTCAACAATTTACCTCCCGAGACCATTGAAGTGTTGTGATGTATTTATAACAGATGCTGAGTGATAACAATCATCCTGATCAGTCTTCTGATATGTGTTTATTCTCGCAGGTATCATGCTGCCCTCGTTGACTTCGGCTGTTTACTTCTTCATCTTCCTCTTCCTCTGCACCTGGTGGTCTCTCTGCCGGACCTTCGACACGCTCATCTTCAGCTGCATGTGCGTCCTCATGGCCATCTTCAGCGCCGGACACATCATCGTCCTCTACCTCTACCAGTTCCAGTTCTTCCAGGAGTCCATCCCCGCAGACGATGTGACCGTGTAAGTTTTTAAATCTTGAACTTTGTGCCATTTTTGAGATTCGTTTTGAACCTAGCACTAAAAAACATACTTTTTTTTTATCAGTTTAAATCAAAAAAGACTTTAATTTGTTACAACTTTGTTAATTAGATCTTGATGTGTATCATTTGACGTCCGTTCTGCCCACAGAAAAGGATGAGTCATACATTTTAAAAGCTAAATGCTATCTTTCCCCCAAACAACAGTGAGCGATGGGTCGATTTAGACACAAATTGCAATATATGGACTTAACGCGCGCTACATATTTCTTTAGTTAAACAGCACACGCTCAAACTAATGCTCCGTGCTAATGTGAGAGTAAAACGATGTCATGCACAGCGGCCAGAGCTCCTTTGACTCGAATGTATTTATAACGCCCGAGGCAAGTTTGTTTGAACGATAATAAATATTTAGTATTGTTACAAACAAGAAGGCAAAGAAAAAGGCAAACCCAGCTGGAGGGCGGATATATCAAACTCCTACTCACAGCACATCAATATCAGCAGCAGAGGTTGTTGGCTCTTCAACCAGGGATGTTTTATTATGCATGAGATGGAGACAATCAGCTGTCTGTGGTGAGGCTGTGGTTGGAGTTCAGCCACAGCGCTGCACATCTTGCCAGCGTGCGTTAGTCACAGCTGTAATGACTACAAACTCTGTAGCAGAACCTTCCTCCTTCACTAAGCTCACTCTGTCTGACTGACAACCTGGAATGCTGAGAATGCTGTTTATTTACTAATTACTCAAAAATACACATTAAGACCACCACCCTGGATGATTAACAAAACAGAGATGATCTGAAAGGAGGATCATTCAGCTTTTACAGATGCTACCAAGTTCTTATAATTTCAAATCATATGTCCGTATTAATACTAATACTGTTTTTCCCATTTACATCTTACTAAACAAAACATTGCCAACATTAGTCATAACACTTTATTAACAAAAATCCTCTAAATGTTACATTATGGTTAAAGGTAGTTCATGATAATAGTTAATCTACATTTCTTCTGAATATGCATCAAATGACTCGGTGATGTTATGTCAAATGTAATATACAAAAATGTAAAAAAGGACAAAGACATAACTGCTATCAAAGAGACAACAACAATAATATGTACTTATTCTCGGTGAACCGTCAAATAGGTAAAACAGTAAATCACTTCCCAACAAAGACCAGATGCAAACAGCTTAAACACATAAATATAATATAAAGAAACAGTAGATGTACTATGTTGCTGCTCTGTAACTTCAATGCAATTCTATAATAACTGTATTTTAAGTTTTTCTAGCTGATCTATTTTCAGAAATGACAAGTAGTGGAGCTTTGTTCCTATATTTATGACAACTGTCTTGTTCGGCCTGTCACTGCATCCCAAATAAAGGAGTTTGAGCGGAGGGTGACGATGCCTCTAACTAGTTACTTTTGTTTTATTTGCACAGGTTTAGCGGCCACAATAGCTGCACAATTATTTTGTGAACTCGCCCCTCAGAGTAGCTATTGTCTCAGAGTAGCTATTGTCTCGCTGCCCTTGGTGTTGCAGGGTTTTATTGATCTCACAGTTTCTCATTTGAAAGCTGTGCTGCTGTGTGTCCGAAGCGAGGCTATTTACAGCTATGTTTAGCTGAGGCTGCCTTGAACAAAGCTCGCTGCCTGCCATCCTCCTCCTCCTGGGTCAGATGGCAGATAAGGTGTGATTACAGACACTGCTGCATTGATGGACGTCTTGTTAGGAAACTCATTAGAATGAAAGGACCCCTCTCACACCATCGGCACAGTCATTAATAGTTTGTTTAAACTGTGCTCTCTATACAGTGACAGCAGTATTTAAAACTAGTTTCAAATCAAGGGGTCACCATATAAAAAGATACAAAAAACGACACTTCAAGGCTTTTAAAAATCTGACATTTTTACCTTTTTGAGCTTTTAGGATTCTCAAAAGTTATTAAATACTGGATATCTTTCCTCTTCAGGCTTCTGACAATACTTAAAACTTGTAATATACTCGATGTTACCTTTTACAGGGACTGAAATATCGTTAAAGCTTGTAAAATGCCATTTATTATTACCCGTTTGGCCCGATAAGTGCCCAAAGTGAGAAATTATGTACATTTTAATCTTTATGGCACTTTAAAATTCTGGAAAGTAAAATGCTAGAAAGTCACTTCCTCTAAGGGCCTTTAAAAAATCCTGAAATGAGACAAAAAGAAGGTAAACACGCAGCTCATAATCCGTAATCACACTCAGTCGCTGATGAACATTACTTCATGTTAAAGGGTCATGAGGTCAGAAGGTTGGGAACCTTTAATGGAGTAAATATGACAAAAGAAAAATGAATTATCAGTAAAGTTAAGACCCTAAACGTCTACATCGCTTCATTAACTAAACAGTTTAGTGTGTCCTACATTTGGGGAAGTACACCATGAATCTAATCTTCTTTGATTGTTCATTACACGCCACCTTTTCCATCCTCTGAGGTCTCCCCTCATGTGTTCATGTTGACTTTCCGCAGCGTTGAGGTATTTCTGTCTCTCGCCGTGTGAAAACTGAGGCCCACTTTGACGAAAGAAGTTACCCGCCACTGTCCTCTGACCCTGCCTGTTTCCTGTTGCCACCCTCAGACAGTCTTTTTTAACCATTGTTTTTATGGAGCATTCACATTGAAAGACACTAAAAAAGACCAACAACAACACAGAAAAAACAACAACACTAAACCATGTTTGTGACAACAATGGTACAAATAATGAGGCAAATACATACAAAACTTAAACTTAAGTCCAAGTAAATACAGGTAATGTAGGACATGCACATAATGGTAATGATAATAATTACTACAATTAAAAAAAATTCAAATAATAAGAAATACAATTAAAAAAATATATAAAACCGATAACAATAATAATAATTAAATACAAATTTAAATAATAATAATAATAAAACAAGAAAATAGTAATAGTAATATATATATTTATATACAAAGAACACAAATATAAATGTATAAATAAATAAAGGTTACTTTTCCTCGCTGTCCGATGCTTAAGACATATCCTTTTTTACCATAAAATGCTCCCAGATAGATTCAGACAGTCTGAGGGAAACTCTTCTGGTTGTAAATACGTGGAGCTGCGATTGGACAATAGGCCCCCTCAGTGCAGCCCTAATTGTGCTTGTTGACAGTAACTCGGCCTTGCTGTCGGGTGTTGAGTGAAGCTGTTGAGAGGCCTGGCTTCCACTCCACTTCCTGCCTCTCCTCCTTACAATGGAAGTCCCCAGTCATGTGACCAGTGGGCTTTCCCTCCCAGCTGCAACAAGAAACCGGTCAGGAAGTGTGATGGGGTCAGAGGGGCGCATCCACTCCTCCACATGGCACAGAGAGAGAGAGAGAGAGAGAGAGAGAGAGACTCAGTAGGCGTCTAGATCAGGGGTGTCCAAACTACGGCCCGGGGGTCAAATGCGGCAGTGGCGGTTCTAGACCAATTTGACTGGGGGGGCCAAGCTGGGGCCAGTTATTTTCTGAGAGGGGCACAATAAATGCAGGACGAAAAAGACAAAGACAGTATGAAGTAATTGCGCATAAGAAAACAATGCAATTCAGTTATTGGTACACATATTTATTTCAGATAGTTATAGTTAAATTTTTTACGCTCTAATGCATGGTTGTCAAACTCAAATACACAGTGGGCCAAAATAAAAAAATCGGTACTCGTCGAGGGCCGGACTGGTTCAATATTTATTGCAAAACGTATTGAAATGAACTTATTGCACATATTAAACCTGGAACTAACAAAGCTTAAATTATTGCCTATACAAACAACATGAAACATTAAATAATCAGTTGCATTAATTTCTTATGGCTCTATCTGCAGCTTTTCCGGAGTCATTTCTTATGATTACATTTCTCCACAGGCCAACAACAGCTTCAACAAAACTATTTCCCTCAAAGAACAAACCAAACATGCCCTGTTGTCGCAAGAAACAAAGTGCAGAAGGAAACATCCATTAAACTCAGTTTGCTGCTGTGATGCTAGTTCAAGCCAGATACTTGGCATCTCATCTTGGGTGCAAGTTCATCAATGTTTGGGGTCAGGCTCTGAGCGGAGGAAATCCTCAGGATTAAGTGAAGGTGTGCGTGCAATATACCGGCGGGCCAGATCTAATAGGCCGAAATTAAATCCACCAAGGGCCTGATTTGGCCCCCGGGCCTTGAGTTTGACACATGTGCTCTAATGGGTCCGACCAGAATGACAAATAACGTTCGTTCCGCCTATTCCGTCAGCCAATAAATCGTTTAATCATAAACTTCTCATTTTCATGGGGGCCACAGGGGGGTCCAAAGTCAGTGTTACTGGGGCACTGGCCCCCCCTTGCCCCCCCATAGAACCGCCCCTGAAATGCGGCCCGCGGACCATTTTGAATCGGCCCTCAGCAAATTCAAAAAGTATAATGGAATACGGCCCACAAATGAAACTTGTGCTTGTCTTATATTGTACTTCTTAAATATAATGACTTATTTACATAACCAGTTTGAAATACGCCCTTCATATTCCCTTTTATTATCATCAATCTGAGGCTTCTGTTTTAAGGGATGAGCTGCCAACACTCACAAGCATCATTTACCTACATGTGATTGATTTTGCTAACTTATAACTGAACTTCCATCCATCCATCTTCTCCCGCTTATCCGTGGTCGGGTCGCGGGGGTAGCAGTTCCAGCAGAGAGCCCCAAACTTTCTTTTCCCTGGCCACATCAACCAGCTCTGACTGGGGGATCCCAAGGCGCTCCCAGGCCAGCGAAGAGATATAATCCCTCCACCTGGTCCTAGGTCTACTCCTTGGTCTCTTCCCAGCTGGACGTGCCTGGAACACCTCCCTAGGGAGGCGCACAGGTGGCATCCTAACTAGGTGCCCGAACCACCTCAACTGGCTCCTTTCGACGCGAAGGAGGAGCGGCTCAACTCCGAGTCCCTCCCTGATGACCGAA